ATACGTATTTATTTTCCGTAGATTCTCTTAAAAACGTTAATTACAATCCTACGCTTCCTTCTTATATTTACGTTAATTTTTGACCGTCGGAAAAGGTTAAAAAATAGTACGATTTTCTGACTACTTAAACTTCACTATTAAAATGAAATAATATATTTGTTAAATAAGATGTAACAAAATGAATGAATAAATTTTTTTAAAATAAATTGCACGTTTCAGGTAAAGATTTTTCTAAACCAATCGTAATGAAATAAATTATCCGAAATTACATGATGAACCATTCTAACCCCCTCAATTCTTATAATTTTTATCGTTATGATTATTTATTAATAATTATGATTATTTATTAATAATAATGATAACATAATCTAGATTGAATGTTTGAACATTATCGTTATACATAGAAGTTGATAAATATAAGGGATGATACGTAAAAAATAAAATGGCATCAAAAAAAAGAGTTTAATGAAATATCAAAAAGGAAATATTAAATCATTATTATGATTGGAAAGGGTCTGGATCAAGATCATTCGCGTAAGAAAATAATAGTTCGTAAAGATAATCGTAAAAATAATCGTAAAAATAATTAGTGGTATTTTACAAGATTACTATGTACTGGCCGAAGCAGAGAGTGCAAAGAACGCAGAATGCAAAGAGTGCAAAGTAGAGAGACTTATAAATTCTCTAAAATACGAAATCAATGAATTACTGTTTAAAATGAGCAATTATTAACGCGAGTATATACGTACAATGAAATTAAATTCTAAAAATCTGCAAGGTCGTACGTATTGATCAAACCATGTGAGGAAAAAAAGTTCACACAAAAATTATACCTTGACAGAAAAGGTAAAATTACAAAGCTTATTTCACATTTTAAGACATTTTGAACTATACGTATACGTATCTCAGTTAACGACGCCGGTGTAACGTTAGTCTATCGTTATGAACAAGTAATTTTACATGTCTAACAAATATTTAATCACGTGTTTAGTTAACCTTCTCCCAGATATATAAGTCTCCAGTTGTTTCGTAAATACATTTCTTTGTTTCGAGTGGCAATAGTGTGTTTGATATCAATAAACCATGAAAATTTTAAGCTTATTTGCAACGATCTTTATAGTACTTATTACAAGAGTTTTGGGCTCTGAAGTAATATCGTTAGAAACCTCTACTTTTGCTCAAACTATTTCTAAAGGAAACTGGTAGGTGTTTGTTTTGTGTATGTTTTTATATCTTTTTTAAAGTTAAATTAAGGTTTCTTTTTTTTTTCTTTTATATTCAAGGTTTGTTGAGTTCTTTGCACCATGGTGCCCTCATTGTCAGGTTTTGGGTAACAGAATTTCTAAATAATTGACTGGTAGATTATGTTAAATCGGTCTGAAAGTCTTATACATTTTTTATTTGTAGAGCCAATATGGTCAAAATTGGCTGCTGAACATGGTGATTCTTTTGCATCAAAGGATTTTCACTTAGCCAAAGTGGACTGTACATTGTATGGAGGTAAATAAATAACTTTATATATTATCGTGATCTATTCGTATATATCAGTTCCCATGTATCAGTTCCCATATATCAGTTCACATATATCAGTTCACATGTATTAGTTCCATATATCAGTTCGTATATTGTTTATTATATGTTAATTGATTTTGTTAAAAACTCTAGATTTGTGTGAATTACATGGTGTAGAAGGTTATCCAACACTGAACTTGTAAGATTGTCCGTCTATTATAATCTATTATATTGCGTTAAATACTTCTTCTTTATTAAACTGGCCCTATTATAGATATAAAAATGGTGTTAAAATAGATGGTTATCTTCGATCCAGAGATTTTAACTCTTTGTTAGAATATGCAAAAACTAAATCTGAGGAGGAATATGAACCTAAACCTTCTGATAATAATATGAATACACCTGAAGAGTTAGATTTACCTGAGGAAGATTTCATACCACCAAATCCATCCGGTTCTGTTATATCTTTGACTAGTACAAATTTCGATGATTTGACAAAATCTGGTCCTTGGTTTGTGAAATTTTTTGCCCCTTGGTGTGGCCATTGTAAAAATTTGGCTCCAACTTGGGAAGAATTGGGTCGTAAATTACAAAATAAAGTTAATGTTGGAAAAGTGGATTGCACCACTGAGAAAGGTAGTTATTATTTATGTTGCATATGTTGTATATGTTACATATGTTGCATATGTTGTATATGTTACATATGTTACATATGTTGCATATGTTGTATATGTTGTATATGTTGTGCTAATTTTATTTTAATATTGACTAAAATTTTATTGTTAAATTTTTAAAAGAACTTTGCTCTAAATTTAAAATTCAAGGATACCCAACTTTGAAACTGTATCCTCACATTTATTTAACATCATGTTATTATATGTTTTTATATACTATTATATGTTATTACATGCTATTACATGATATTACATGTTATATTTATATTATATTTCCATAACCAATTAAATTTTTACAGTTTAAATGGTGCTGATGATGTCACTGATTACAAAGGATCAAGGCAATTGCAAAGTCTTCAAGAATTCGCTGAGCAAGCTGCATCTGCCCGTTTGGTAGACATAACTTTGGCTGATTTTGATAAAGCCAAAAAGATCGATGATGTATTCTTTATTTATCTTTATGATGAAAAATCTCCTTCCAAAAATTTAGTAAGCATTATTTATTATTGTTATTATTATTATTATTTTTTTTTTTAATATGCTATGAATTTATTTATTTATTTATTTGTTTAAATTTTTATTTCTTTATCAGAATATTATGAAAGGATTACCTCGTTCTTTCTTTTCGATCAAATTCTATTCTAGCAAGGATCCTAAACTTGCCACCTCTTTGAAAGTTTATACTCTTCCTTCATTAATTGTTATAAAAGATGATCTTCAAAAAAGTTACACTTCCTCAGATTTTGCTGATCCATTTGACGACCTTGTGTCTTTAAAAAATTGGGTTCAATCTGAAAAATATCCATTAGTACCTGCCATAGATTCCGAAAATTATGAAGATATACTGGCCGGTGATAGATTGGTGGTTTTAGGTGTTGTGAGACCTGCTGATGTTAGGCCTTTCATTAAAGCTAAAAATACTTTAAAAGCTGTGGCAAAACTTTATCATCAACAAACTAAAAGACATGGTGGTTCTGAAGATAATCGTGGTGTAATATTTGCGTGGTTGGATGGTGATAAATGGGAAAACTATATTTATAGTATCTATGGATTAAGTAAGAAGGATTTACCAACCGTGATAATTTTTGATCCTTCGGTAAGTTTATATTTCAATAATTTTCTTTAAATTAATTAAATCGTAATAATATTTACAATAATATTTACATCAATTATTTACAAATTTATTGAAAAAAAAGTCTGGTGAATATTATGATGCTGCAAAAAGCGGTGACAAACTCACATTTAGCCATCAAGCACGATTGCTTGAATCTATTAACGACGCAAAACTCGGATATCTTGAAGGAAAGAGTACAATTGGATTTACGGAAAAGATGTTTAGAGTAATTTGATGTGTTTCCAAATGTTTTTTGATTTTTAATTATTTTATTCTTGTGTTCTAACTTTTGTTCCTTTTGTTCTTACTTAATTTACTTAATTAGGGTATATTTTCAATAGGCACTGAAATACAGGTAATTATTACCTTATTTTTTTTAACAAATGCTCAATTTCATTTTATTAAATAAAATTTATTTATTTATTTTATTTTTTGTAATTAATTTGAATAGAACTCATTTGTTTATCACCCATTACTCTCTCTGGTATTTTTGGCATTATTATTTGGTATATTTTGGAGGAGTTGCTTAATGCCGCAAACGCGGGATGGTCGCTGGCGAGATTTTGAACGAGGATATGATAAATTTGAATAATATGCAAAAAAGATTTTATTTTGCAGGTTTATCTTACGTGATAAAATAGATTTGATTATTATTATTAATACTATTTTTGTTTTGTTTGAAAAATTTAAAATTTTAACTATTGTATGATTAAAAAAAATAGAATACCTATCATTATTCACGTAGCTTTAATATATACATATGAATGGTGTAAATTAAAGTCTAATACATTCAACTTTCTTTAAGTGCACCTCCGGCACTAGCCATATGCGTGCGCTTAGAAAACTTATTTACATTGCTACAATAATCGTCCAATCAAAATATACAGTAAATTATGCTAATAAAATATAAACTACGAATTGTTGTACACTTCCTAGAATTTAGAAAATCACATGATTTTATTTATGAAATTGGTTCTTTTTATAAGTATATAGATTTTTTCAGGATAACGGTTTGCGTATATGTATTCTAAAACAATTAAAATTTTATTAGGCTACTGTATATTAGCGTTTTAGACCTTCACATATTTTCATCATGGTAATTTATGTAAATCCGTTGCCAGAATTAGGGGACTTCTAAAGCGGAGCAGATTCTTATATAAAGTAGATGAGGGTATTATGGCGGGGTTAAGAATAGCTAATAGTAAACGTTCACAATAAAAAGTTATTTGTACATCAAATTTGTTCTACAAATAGTAGACATAATTTGCTTTAAACCACCAAAAAAATAAAACCCAATTTCATTTAAAACTATTATTATATTTTTATTTTCTCGAAAGCGATTAAAAATTGTGGTTTTTAATGACTATGGGTATTGTGGCGGAATGATGACCCGGGTATAAAAGTGGGGATCTTTCACGTATCAAGGGGACTTTTGTATGGCCATTTACGGTAATTTTTTACTGATTCCCTCGAAATTTTTTTTGGTAACGATTTTCTTCTAATCTTATTACCTCAACCGACAACGATATTAAAATATCTCATGAACTATTAGTCAGAATCAAATAATTTTAATACCGTATGAATTATTTAATTGGGTCGAATCAATTAGTATCAAAATTATTCGATTCTGATCATTAGATTATAGTTGATTTTTTAACATCCGCCACAATACCCATACCCGCCATAATACCCTCATCTACTTTATATTTGGGCTAGGTGCTAAAAAAGGGACAAAAAAAAAAGATCTTCGTTTTATTATAATAAATCATAAGAAAGCGCAAACTTTAATGAGTTATACTGCAAAAATTTTATTAATACAACTAACTTTGTGTTTTAAGTAAAAACTGATCCTAGTCTTATTTTAAATTGATTTATGTAAAAAAATTTCTTTTGAAAACATTGTCAATTTCGTCCCTTTTTCCAGCACCTAGCCCATTTTATTGAATTAACTTTAGGGTTAGGATCATCTTATTGCCTTCCGAACATTTTTAATTAACCCAACCAAGGTAGGTTTAGACTGTATTTTTCAGGTTTTCGTTTTTAATTCTTTGCGATCGTCAAAATTCCATAATTTGATTGGTTTGATATCACGTGATTATGCTTCGCTTTAAACGACCCCCAGAATTAGAATTAGAGCTAGGTTGGCAATGAAGCCAATGGTGCTCAAAAAAACTAGTACCATTGGCTCTATTCAAAGCTCGATTGGCTCCATTCGCAGCTCCATTGGGCTCCATTGCCAACCCTGAATTAGAGTTAGGGTAAGATTTGTAATGTTAGCAGAACTATTAGTAGAATGGTGGAAATAGCAAATTACCATTAGTGAATTTTAATAAGTTATTCTCCAAGGCCTAAAATAGAAAGATTAAATTTGCATAGGAAATTATCGTGAATTTGTTTAATTAAATTTAACAAAAAATTTTATTAGTTAAACCACAGGGTTTTGTATAATAAAATTTTAAATATTTTAAAATTTCATTATACAGTACGTATACTTTACATGCATTAAACTAATTCTAACTTTATAATTCAAGGTAGTGAATTAATCACCATATAGTTAAAATTAGGTTTATTTTTTTCAAAATTTAAAACATCTACTGTATTAATGTTAAATAAAAACATTTCAAACTTTAGATCAAAAAATATATAAACACCTATACAACCAAATTTGATCAAATAAAAAATAAACTTATTAAATTTAGTTAGAATTAAAATATCTTCAATTAAAATTTTATAAAATTTTACAAATCTTACTATGAATAGTACTCTTTATTGGCCTACGTATTAAAGAATATTTTATGTATAAAATGCTATACCAAATATGTACTGATTTTGAAAAAAATAATTAAGTAATTAGGATTCATTGTAAGAGGGAAAGTTGGATAGAAAAAACACGTTATGATAAAATTTCTTTAAAGTCAATTTAACAAAATAAACAAAATTTAAAGTTTTACTAATTTTGTTAAAATGGATAAATAATTTTATATAATGAAATATACTGATACCAAGTTTCGTGATAGTCCAAAATATGTATAACTATTTAATGTTTATAAGTTTATAATGTTTATAATTGTAAATAAATAATTTAACATAAAATAAATTCAAGATGGCACATTTTTATCGCTTCATTTTTATATTCGTTTAAGTCCATCAATTATTTCTTGAGGAATTTCCATTCCTAAACTCTTATATTTTTCTGACAATTTTTTATACGCATGAGGATGTTTTTTCAAATGTGCTTGTTTCAACCAACGTGCACCTTCTGATAGATTTTGTCGAACACCATGCGCACCATTAATCAATAAATCTCCATAATTAAACATTGCATTTATATTTCCACGAACTGCTGCTTTTTCTAAATACTCTATAGCAATCCTATCATTCTCGGCACTTTTCTTTACTCCTTCTCCGCTGAGTAAAGCAACTCCATATCTAAATTGTGCGTCTGGAATATCTTTTTCTGCTGAACGGCGGAAATATTCTACCGCTAGTTCTTTATCTTGTGGCACATCATGGTCACCTGAAATTAGATAGTAACCAACATAAAATTCTGCGGCAGCGTCTCCATGATCCGCATGATATTTGAAGATTTTATACGCTTCACCATATTTTTTCTCACTATGTAATTTTTTGGCTTCACTAATATCTGGAAAATCTGGTTTAAACTCGAGGATTTCAACAAAATCATCTTCTACCATATTTGAATATGTGGATTGAATATCGGCTTCTAATGCTGAAGGTATTGAATCACGTCGAGTAGGAATAAATGAATCAAGACCAGCACTATTAGCCCTATGATTTTGTGATCTGACAAGCGATTTCAATTCTCTGAATATCGTGTCAGCTGTTGGCCGTTGTATGGGTTGTGGACTCCATCCTGATTTCATTATCATTTCGTAAGATTTTGGTGTACCATTTATTAGTGGTGGTCGATCTTCTAGTACCGTAACACGGTTAACTAACTCTGGTACGTTGGTAACATCTGAGAAAGGCATTTCTTGAGACGCCAGCTCCCAAAGCACGATTGAAAAGCTATATATTAAAAAATTAACGTTAAAAATCTTATATAAATTTTTAGATTAAATATATTTATTTTTATTTGCAATAATAATATACCTGTATATATCACATTGTTTGGAGTAGGGTGTAGCAGCATAGTTTGCAAGTTTTTCAGGTGAAAGCCATCTGAAATATAAAAGTATCAATATTAGGTTGTTTTATTTTATAATATTATAATAATATTATATATATTACCTGTATATTAACATAATATTTTTCATAGGCATTGTATAATCACTTACTTTACGGCTAGAGCTAAAATTGCTTATTTTTGCCGTTAACTTGTCCGTTAATAGTATATTATGGCTAAGTATTTAAAGTATAAAAGTTATAAAGTTATAAAAGTTATAAAAGTTATAAAAGTTATAAAAAGTTATAAAAAGTTATAAAAGTTATAAAAAGTTATAAAGTTATTAAGGTATTAGAATACAATAAAAAATGCATTAGAAATAGGAAAATATAACAAACCTTCTTATATCATGATGCAAAATATCACAGAAATGACAAAATGCTAATCCGCTAGCGATTTCAGACGCTATTCTTAGTTTAAAGTCCCATGATAGGCCTGGGTTGTTTTTCAAGTAGGTATTGAGATCCCCCATTTCTGCCCATTCCGAAATAATGTACAATTTACCGTTAACCTGCGTTGTGCCATAACTGTACAATAAATTATTAATTATTAATCTAATTAAAAATGATGGTAGTTCTCATAACTTTAAAACAATATAACATACAAGGCTATGATATTCAAGCAATTTTTCAGCTCTGTAAGAATAGAGACCTGTTTTTCAAGTTTTTCAATTTTTCCTGCGGGATCTTCTGTAGCATTACCATCTGAAGATCTTAAGGTCGCGATATATGCGATTTCCTTTTGAGCAACTGGTTGCACTCCGCTCATAATTTTTTTAATGATTTGTCCGTCACCACGTTTCACTTCCTTTCCATTTTCTATATGATCTGTAATTTGATTCCCAGAAATTTGAGATTTTTTAAAGATTTTATTTGCCGCTGAACTTTGATCATTGGTAATGGCCATTTGAATCATAGTCAACTTATTTTCGACGGCATTAATTTTCTCTGTGTTGTTCATTCCGTTTTCAAATAAGTCCTGCATAACTTCTTCTATGACTTGAAGTGATGTTTTAATATCAGCATGGAAGATTCTTTGGTCGTCTTCAATGTCTCTGTTCGTTCGAAGACAAGTCGCTAATCCTAATTGTGCAATTGCTGAATCAAATTCTTTGGTAATTTCATTATAATTATTTTCGATCTATAATTAAATTAGAATGAATAATTAAATTAGAGTGAATAATTATAATTAAATGAATAATTTAATAAGGTGAATCATTGAACGAATAATGAAAATTTTCATTATTAAAAAATATATATATATCTATATTACCTCGCGAGCAGCAATTAATTTCATAAATGGCGACGACTTGCTAATTTTGTCAATAAACTCCTTGCATTTTGTTATCGCACGAACATAGCCTTTTAAGGCCAAGTCATTTTCATCTTTTACAATAATTTTATCAAGAGCTTGGTTTGCAACACGTATACGATCAGCTAACCTATTACAAATTGCTTTATTATGTCCTGCTCTTTCAGTTAAATTGATTATTTCTTTAAATATTATAGCTGGAAGAGCAATTAATGGGATTACCGTGCCAATGTTGAATGCAAGATCGCTTGCGATTTTAGCACCTGAAACTCCAGCATTAATTTCCATTTTTTTTTTTTTTTTTTTTTGAGAAAACTATTAACAAAAGAACAAAATATTTATTGGTGCAAACTTTTACACTTTTTTTTTTGAAAAAAAATAAAGCTTTTATCGGCGTAAACTTTTAACACTTCTTTTAATAAAGAAAAAAAAAATAAAATAATAATTTATCGGTGCAAACTTCCGAGAATGTTACGCATTTCCAGAATAAATGCGCACGTCTTGTATAAATAATGGGATTCATTATATATATATAACAGGAACTAGAACAAAGGGACTAAATAAGGTTTTGGTGTGTTATGTACCACTATTACAGTTGTCTAAACCATATTTGGAAATTTCAATACATTATGTCGTAAGGCATTTTCACAAATTTAATTAGATTGTGGTTTTTTTTTAATCTTTTTATATTTCATATGCAGGAAAAAAAGATGCCTGTTCGTTTCCATAGAACATTTAATCAGCAAAAAAAGAATATTCTTAGAATACTAACGTCATTTACTGTCGGAATGTAGCTGCATAGAATTCTCGATTTTTACGCATCAGCAAATAGCTCTACAAAGTTATATAAATGCTATATAAATTTTTTATATAGACTTACAAACCCAATGTAAACTTATATAGTTAGAATTCTTACATATAATTTAATATAATATTTATATAAACATAAAATTTATATTTATATTTACATAAAATAATTTTAAAGTGACTAAGGTAATCACCGCTCGATGCACCAAGTAAACATGCTCAGCATGGCCGAAAACCTTCCCCAAACTTCTAATTTAAACTTTAAAATCTATTCCTAGCTTCAATATTTAGTTCAAAAATTTTTTGCAATTTTACGTAATTCTATATAAAAATATATATAGATTTATATAAATAACT